TTTGGAGAGATTTTCACTATAGGGCACGTGCGCTCACCAGACAAAGAGAGACATAGAGACAGAAAGCGTGACCATCCCCCCGCAGTCCCTTCTCCTCCATTCTCCTCTTGGGATCTTGGGCACGCACGCACACGCGCCCGTCTTGAGTTCTAAGCCACTGGGTCCGGGACACGAACCGTGGTTGACTACGTGGGAGTCCAGCGACATAGCCATTATGCTAACTGCTGGTTCCCTATTAGACATTTCCATGATTTGCATTGAACTGCTTGTGGATGAATAGGAATTATTCTTTTCCTTTGGAGGAGAGGTAATTTCTTGCTTTCCCATATTTCTTGTGGTCCTGCGGTGATTTCTTGTCATCTGATGGATGGTGTGTTTCTTTCTCATTCTTGAAGTTCAATCTGAGTGTTCAGGAGCAAGCAGAAAGAGGTGATCTGGAATCTCTTTGCTGTTCTGTTGTGATCGCACACAAGCTTTGTTTGCTGGAGCCTGAATTATCAGTAGAAAATTTTCATTTCTCCTGTCCCCTGAAATGACTAGTTCATGGGAGCCATGAGGAATCCTCTTCACAATCTAAATACTTTCAATAGTAAGTTCAGCTGATATATACATATCTGTGACTAAAAGTTGACTTTAGGCATGGAACTCTGTGGGTAGAATGAATATACTACAAAATAGCACATAGCTAAGACTATATATCTTACTGTGGTTACTAATTAGGTATTTTTTAAATATATTTTTTAATTTCAATAAAGGTAGTTTTAGCTTTAATAAATAAAAATAAAAAAATGTTAAGAGAACTTTGCTTAATACTTAAATCTAGGAAACAGGTTAGGATACTGTTCAAATAGTAGGTACATGGACAACTCGAGAGAAGACAAAACTCCTTAACACTGGAAAACAAAGCATAGAAGATCAGTAATGTTTTAGTCAAAAGTAATAAAATTCTATTTCACCAGTTCAAACTCATGTACTTTATGTTCTGTTGTGGTCCAATCTTTCCATTTAAATTCTGGAAGATAACGTTCAACTCTGGACTTGTCCCTACCATGAATCTGGGCATTTTCTTAGCTGTTTTAGAACTCTTATTTCTGTATGTCTGACTTTAGTTTTCCTGTGATAGTTTTCCTCTCCCTTCAAAATTTGTTGGAGAGCTGGTCTGTTATTGGTAAATTCTTTCAGGTTTTGTTTATCTGAGAATGTTTTTATCTTCTCTTCCCATATGAAGGATAATCTTGCTGGATATAGTATTCTTGGTTGAAATTGTTTTTCACTCAATACTTTGAATATATTATCCTAATTCTTTCCTTGCTCACATTGTTTCCTATGAGAGATTTGTTGTTAGCCTGATGGGATATTCTTTGTAGGAAACTTGATGTTTTTCTCTTGCCAGTCTGAATATCTTGCCTTTGTCTGTGGTTTTGGTCATTCTGGCTATAATGTGTCTTAGAGAAGATCTTTTGTGTTAATTCTGTTTGGGGTCCTTTTTATTTCTTGGGTCTGGATCTTCAAATGCCTCTCTAGGTTTGGAAGGTTTTCCAGGATTTCATGTACTAGATTGTCAATACCCTTATTAGTCTCTTCAGCTTCAGGGATATGGATTATCCAGATGTTTAGATGTTTAATTGTATCTAGTATTTCTCATATATTATTATCATTTTTTCGGCTATTTTCTGTCTTCATGGTTGATTTTACTAGTCCAGTGATCCTGTCTTCTACATATGAGATTCAATTTTCTGTATGATTTAGTCTGCTTTTAATACTTTCAAAGGATGTTTTGACTTTCTTCATCTCCAACAGTTTCATTTGACTCTCTTTTACGGTGTATGTTTCCTCTTTCAGCTCTCGCAAGAACTTCTTTCCCCCAAGAATTCATTGCCTTTTTTCTTCTGTTGTTCATTGTCTCTCTTCTCTTCCAGCTCTGTCAGTTTTGTCACTATGAATACTCTAAAGTCTTTATCAGACATTTCCATGAGTTCCATTGTACTGTGTGTGGATGAAGAGGAGTTATTAATTTCCCTTGGGGGTGAAGTATTTTCTTGGTTTCACATATTTCTTGTGCCCCTGCAGTGATTGCTAGTCATCTGATGGGTTGTTTGTTTCTTCCTAATTTCTAGAAGATCAATCTGAGCAATCAGAGGTGGACGGGAGGATGTGGTCTGCAAATTCTTTGGTGTTGCATTTTTCTCCCTTTGTGATGCTGATTCAATGTAAGTTGAGGAATATGAGGACCCAAAGTATGTGGATTTTGGCAGCTTTTTACTTAGACTTGTCTAGACCCTCAATGGATGGAGGCTGAGAAGCAAAGTGATGAGGTAAAACAAAAAGAATAAGGAAACAGAGAAAGAGAGAAATTGGAGAAAACAAACCAACAAACAAATAAATTATTTATTTGTTAATTTTAAAAAACAAAAAGTGAAAACTACACAGCATGCTTGTTCTCAGCTTTCATGGTATACTTAATCTTCTTCTGGCCTGCCCTTTCTCTTTGCCTAGATGGGAGGGACAAACGGGAGGGGATTATTGCCAAGATAAAGGAGGATTTAAGAGCCAAGAAAAAACTTTACCTTAAATAATTTTTTAAAAAAGAAAAATAAATAAAACAAAAAGACAGAGACAGACAGACAGACAGACAGAGATAGAGAGACAGAGAGGGTCAGAGAGAAGGATATAAGGGTTCTACCAGAGTAAATTCTCAGCAGAACATCTTCATTGCCTTATCTCTGAAATCACTAAATCTCAGCTCTCTTCTTCTTCTTTTTTTTTTTTTTAAAGGCCCACTCACAAATCTTTATTGAATGATTATTCTACAATGGGATAAGATACAAAGATGAATAAAGATACAGCCTCTGCCTTAAAGAAATGTAAAGAGGGAAAATTAACCTTACAGAAATAAAAGCAATAGAACATCAAAGATGGAATAATAGAACTGTACAATATAGTGTGTAAGCTACAGTGAAAAAACAATAGGCGAGAGCACCTCTACCTGTGAGATCAGAGAAGAGCTATATGAAATTTCTTGGAGGAGCTTCTTATGCTATTGTGAAGGACGTGTAGGTGTTCACAAGGTTATCAAAGTTGGGGAAAATACTAATAATTAATAAAAGATGTTTTGTGTAAATAATTGGATGTTTTTCACCATTATATCAATGTGTCTTTTAAAATTTATGTGTAACACCTAGGTATTGTGACCTCTCACCTTGTTTTCTTAGCCTCTGTGAAGGCTTTTTTGGGTGTGTGTGTGGTGAATAGATGTTCAAATGATATTTCTGAGGGGGACAATTATTTGAACCTTATACCATTATTTTGTACTGCATACTGCTGAATGTATTCAGAATTGCTAAAAATTGTTAGCAAATTGACCATTATATAATGTCCTTTTTGTCTCCTTTGACAGTTTTGACATATCCTGTTTCTCTGTTATGAGGAGGATAGGCAGTCCTCTCTTTGGTTGTCATTTGCATGTGTTTTTTTTTTTTCTCCTCCATTCCTTCATTATAAATTTATGTGTCCTTAAATCTAAGAGAACTTTCATCTAGATAGATTTCAGTTTTTTAAAATTTTAATTTATTTTATATATTCAATCACTATACATCAGTACAGCTTATAAAGTGAATTTATCCAGCCTGAATACACTTCACACCACTTCAGTTGACAATCTTATACGTATTATCATCAACAGGTAATTATTCATTTCTGTGTTCCATAAATACCTTCCATTTTAATTTTTCTTCTCGATTCCTTTCCTCACACCCTCCCCCTTCTCTCACATTTTTCTTACACTGTCTCCAGAATCCATAACTATTTTCCATACTTCTATATCCTCTAATCTTTCAGTTTCCACAAGAGAGTGTAGACAGTTGATATACATTAAGTAGAGACATATGGTGTCTCTCTTTCATAGCCTGGCTTGCTTCACTCAGCAGTAAATCTTCCAATTCATCCACTTTCTATCAAATGCCAGGGTCTTGTTTTTCTATGGATGAGTAGTATTTCATAGAGTATATGTACCACATTTTTCAATTCATTCCTCTGTTCATGGACATTTGGGTTGGCTCCATGTCTTAACAATTGTAAATATTGTTGCAATAAACATAGATGTGCAAGGACTTTTCTGACTGAGTATTCTCCTTTGGGTAGATACCCAATTCTACTTCTTTGGGTAGATACCCAGAAGTGGAATTGCTGGATCATATGGTAGTTCTATCTGTAGATCTTTCATGATCTCCTTGTTGTCCTCCACAGAAGCTAGACCAATTTACCTTCCCACCAGCAGTGGAGGATAGTTCCCCTTTAACCACAGCCCTGCCAGCACCTATAATTAATTTTTTTTTAAGTTTTCACCATTCTGACTGGGCTTAGGTGGTATCTCATTGTAGTTTTGATCTGCATCTCCCTTATTATGAGGGATGTTGAGCATTTTTTTCATATGCTTTTTGGCTGTTCATATGTCTTTCTTAGAGATTTGTTTGTTCAGTTCATTTTCCTATCTTTTAATTGGGTTGACTTTTTCTTTTTTGAAGTAAAGAAAAGGGTGGAATTTAATTTTATTTTTAGGGCATTGCAAAGTATGAAATTCCACATAGAAATAAGAAACCCATTTGGAGGACAAGCTTCATACGGTATGTACAGTTTGGAACTGTTCAAGTATAGTTCATTGAAAAAGTGCTACAATAACAACTACATTTAAAAAGAGTTCTTGGTAGAGAAACAATAAGACAAACTTATATCAAACATAGTACATGACAAACACCTCTGTGCCTCAGCTGTGTAGTCTAGAAGTTAAAGGTCCTGGGACCTGCACTTTGAAGGTTTAGACGTCAGAGATAGTTTGGACATAGCTTTCTGATCTTCCTAGTCCTCTACAGAGAAATACTTTTCAATAAAGTTTAATGAAGCCTTGTACACAGACTCATTTTCATGGTTTTGTAGGGCTTCAATTTTTATCCAGGCCTCCACATTCTTTGATCATTATACTAAGTTTCTCAGTTTCTTCTAGCTGCTCAGCAGCCTGAAAGATATTTGAAATGGCATCCAAGATAACCAGAATAATTTTGATATCTTTCACAGTTAAGTGGTTCATCAACAATTCTATGATGCCACAGTGGAGAGGTATACAATCTGCTCAACTGTTCTGCTTATGTAGTTTGTCACAGCCCACACAGCCTCCTTTTGTGTCTTAAAGTCAGCCTTGGAGACCACTTGTCTTGGAGATAAGAAATGGGACTAACCTGTAATTCATAACCTGCTGAATCTGGTCCTACCTACCAGCGGTGATGTTGGACATTGTCCAAGTAGCTTCCTTCTGAATATTCATTTTGGAGTTAGTTAGCAGGCTGGGAAAAACAGCAAGTACTCCAGCATCTATCACAACCTGGGTATGTTCATCTCTCCCAGTGACAATATTACCTATGGCTCTTAGGGCAGGAGTCACAATGGGCAATTTGGTAGCTCCTAGAAACTTCACAAATTGGGGAATAACTCCTGTTTTCACAACTATTTCAATCCAGTCATTTGGACCATTGGTAAGGTAGGAAATAGCCCAGCAGGTATCTGCTAATACTTCTGGATCATCGTGATGCAGAAGATGGACTAAAGTAGGAAGAATCTGTACAACAGCATCTAGCGAGGGTGCAGGATTCTTGTTGCAGCAGAGGTTTGAAAGTGTCCAAGTAAGGTTATGTTATGTAAGTAACCACATGCTAATGATGACATATCAGGAACTGCAAGGAGAGCCAACGGGTCTCCATACTTGATAACCAGGTCCTGGAAATCTGAACCATCCCCTGCAATGTTTCCCAGAGCCCACACAGCTTGTTCACTGGTGTGTGTGTGTGGGGAGGTGCCAGTGGAGAAATAAATGCTGGGATAGCACTTCCATTCACCACAGTCTTGGTCTGTTCTGACATCCCAGAAGTAATGTCAGTGAGTACCCATGCAAATTCAAAATGGATAGGACTGAAATAATTTCTGCCCAAGAAGGACACAGATTTTGGAATCAACCGAGCCCACATGATGTTATCTATGGGGGACTGATTTTCCCTAGAAAGCAGCTTCCTATCAGATTGAGTATCCTGGAGCTGACTTTCCAAAATGTTGCCATTTATGCCTTTGACAATGTCATCAACCAATTTACAGTGCCCTGGTTGTTGTGGTTTTCCTGCACTGGAGAAGTAACATCATCTGGAACTGAGCTTACATTTCTTCTTTTCAGCATCTGGTTATTATCTTTCCTAGCTTTCCTCAGCTTCACATTACCTTCTATTCTTTGCAGCCTCATTTCTGTACTGTCTTTTCCCTTGTTCTTGAATCTGTTAAGGTGGACAGGTGGTTAATTTGCATTCTCATTGGTGGACATGGTTGTGAGACAAAGGGAGAAAGCTGCACAGATGGCTCAGGCTCCCACAAGAGGCAGCGCAGGGCTCACAAGCTGGGGATCTGCTGCCCTCTGGGTTGACTTTTTTTAGGGTGGGCTAAGCTGCTTGAGTTCCCTGTGTATTGTGATTATCAGTCCCTTATCTGAGATACAGTTTACAAAAATATTCTTCCATTACTGTGTCCTTTGCTGTGCAGAAACTTCTTAATTAGATGCAATGCCAGTTGTCTATTTTGGGATTATTGCCTATGCTTTGGAGGTCTTATTTAAGAAGTCTTTGCTTACTCCAATGTCTCCCAGCGTTTCTCCAGTGTCTGACTTATCTGGTTCCTTTCTCTCTTCTTCTTAATTAGTCTAGCTAATGATGTGTCAATTTTGTTATCTTTTCAAAGAACCAGATTTAGTTTCATTCATTTTCTGTATAATTTATTTTCTATTTCATTAAGTTCTGCTCAAATCTTTATTATTTCTTTTTTTCCTGGAATTTGTTTGATTTTGTTTTTTTCCAAGTCCCTCAGGCATGATGTTAGGTTGCCAGCTCTTCATCTTTTTCTTATGCACATTAATTGCTGTGAACTTCCCTCTTATGACTGCGTTACCTGTGTCCCATAGATTATGGAATTTGTGTACTCATTATCATTGGTTTAAATGAATCTTTTGATTTCAGTCTTAATTTTATTTGTTTGTTTGTTTGTTTACAATCATTCACTGTACAGCAATTTAGTATACAGAATTAGATTTTCCATCCAGAATACTTTGTATATTGGCTCAATCAGGGATATTACCATACATGTTATCATCAACAAATAATTTTCTATTTCTTTTTTCTTATATATTTTGCTTTATTTCCCCCCCTTGATTCCCTATCTCTCACCCTCTGACCCCCCCCCCCATTCTCCCACTCTATCTGTGGTATGTACAGTTTTGCATGCTTTTTTCCCACATTTTATTGATTTTCTAAAGATCTTAATCCATTTAAAAACTTTCAATAGAAAGCACAGCTAATATATACCTGTCTATGAATGCCTGTCTGACTTTAGGCATAAGCCCGAGTGAGTAAGGTGAACACACTATAAAGTAGCACCTTGCTGGAGCTAGATAGCTTATTGCAGTCATTAAATAGGTATTAATAGTTTTTTAATGCATTTTTTATTTTGAGAAAAACAGTTTTAGTTTTAATAGATCAAAATAAAAAAATGTTAAGAGAAATTTGCTTAAAACTTTAAGCCAGGGAAATGTTAGGATTCAGTTAAAATAGTAGGTAGATGAACCTATCAGCAGTTCAAGAGAAGACAAAAATTTTTAAATATGGAAATCAAAGCATCAAAGAAAATCTATATTGTTTTAGTCTAAAGTAAAAAATATTATATTTCACTAGTTCAGACTCATGTAATTAATCTCTCCTCTATTGAATTTGCAATGTTACTGTGGTCTTATCTTTCCATTTAAACTCTGGAAGTTAACATTCAACTCCAGACTTATCTCTACCATTAGACTGGCTATTCTCTTGATTTTTTTTTGTACTTTGATTTCTGCATGTCTGGCTTTAGTTTTCCTGGGATAGCACTCTTTTGAGTACTTCTTGGAGAGCTGGTTTGGTGTTGGTAAATTATTTCAGATTTTGTTTATCTTAGAATGTTTTTGTATTTTTTTTCCTATTTGAAGGATAATAATCTTGTGGGATATCATATTCTTGGTTGAAATTGTATTTCACTTAACACTTTGAATATATTTTCCCATTCTTTCCTTGCTAGCATTGTTTCTGACGAGAGGTCCAATGTTAGCTTTATGGGATATCCTTTGAAAGTTAACTTGATGTTTCTGTCTTGCCAGGTTTAGTATCCTGTCTCTGTCTGTGGTTTTGGTCAATCTGGCTATGATATGCCTTGGGGAAGATCTTCTTGGGTCGATTCTATGTGAGGTCCTCTGTATTTCTTGGGTCTGAATATTTGAGTGCCTCTTGTAGGCTTGGAAAGTTTTCTTCCAGGATTTCATGAAATAGATTATCAATGCTCTTATTAGTTTTTTTCACCTTCTGGGATACCAATGATATTGATGTTTGGGCATTTGATGGTATCTAGTATTACTCATAAATTATTCTCATTTTTTGAGGGTTACTTTTTCAGTCTTTTTGGTGAATTTTTCTAGGTCAGAGGTTCTATCTTTTACATTTGAGATTCAATCTTCTGCACGATCTAATCTGCTTTTGATATTTTCAAGGGAAGTTTTGATTTCCTATATTACTGCCTTCATCTCTACCAATTTTGTTTGATCCTTTTTATGATGCGTATCTTCTCTTTTAGATTGTGCAAGAACTTCTTCACCTTCTGGAACTTGTTGGCTCTTTTCCCCTGCATCTTCTGAAGTTCAGTGTCTCTCTTCTTCTGCATCTCTGTTAGCTTAGTCACTAAGAATATTTTAAATTATTTATCTGATATTTCCATGAGTTCCCTTGTATTCTCTGTGGAGGAAGAGGAGTTATTCTTTTCCCTTAGAGGAGAGATATTACATATATATATATATATATATATATATATATAAAACATTTTTTTATTTTTGTGGGTTATATATGTGAACA